CTGCGAACTTGCTTGTCTGGGTGTCCTGCCTCATCCACTTACGGTAATAGCCTGTGTGGTTCTGGGGTTACAACTGCAACCAGGCCTGCAGGATTGCTATCACCAAGCACTGTGGTCATGTGATGTCAAGCTTTACAACTGTATTACTTAGCAACATAAATTCCGATCTCAATTGCACCATAAGATGAGGACTATCTGTTTGTAAACAATTTTTTGCCACCTAGATTTAAGTAGTAACTCAAATCAGCATACCAAATTAACTGCACATCTACAAGCTGGAATGAACCACTTAAGCAATCCATAAATTTCAGCTAAGGAATATTTAAAGCAAACTATATAGAAGCAATGTTCGTATCCCTTTGTGTAAAAGATTACTGTACTTTGTCCCTGTTTTGAATGAGCTGCTCTTGTCTCCATCTGTCCTTTATTTTTATAATGATTGAATTTGCTGTTTTCTTTTTTTGCTGACCTTGTGAGACTTAACCTCCACAATATTCAATAAAGCAATAAAAGGATTTCAGTTTGCAGAGTTAAAATTCACAGGTATTTGGGAATGGAATAAGAATGCCAAAGAACAAAATGATGCAAGCTGAAGTAATTAACAAAGTTTACATGACTCATTTAGTGATTTTTCACAAATACATTTAATCCTTTAATTATCATATGAATTTGATAATGGAAAATCTACACATAAGTTAAATGTGAGCGCTTGTATTTAAGTTACATATGCCCATGAAGTATTTTAATATATACCAGCTTAATTTGTTTCTGCATTGGATTATCTCAAATATTCTCACATTTATAATTTATTCTAAACAGTATTGTAGAGATTTTTTGTCTGATCTCAATCAGCAGAAATTCTTTCTGAGTAAAATGTGATAATTATTCAATCCTTTGAGTCAGTGGTGTATTAACCATTAATCAGACTAAGTACGTATTTAGGGCACCAGGCCCAAGAGGGCACCACAAAATTGAGAAGAAGAAAAAATAAACCAATGAAGATTTGTACAGTATGTACAAAGGAGGGGGGCACCAAGATTTGTCAGTGCTAAGGGCACCAGTGAGCCTTAATCCGCCATTGCTTTGAGCTTTCATTCAGAAGTCTGTTCTATTGTGCAGTATATTTTATGTATAAAGTGTGAAAATGACTGAAATCTTAATGTTAATTAACTAAGGAAGCGTGCTTGTTTTCTTTGGTGAATTAAAATCTGGTCACAAATCCTACTTGTTTCTACAAGCTGCTTATTTCATTTGTTTTCTCTTTAAATCAAGATAAGTAATACATCGAACACAGAGAAATCATGAGAAAAAATAAGTAACAGAAATTGAAGGCATACTTTATTTAACAAACTACAGTATGTTTGCTTTCAATACGCATATCATTTCATACATTTTTCTTCTTTAAATTCATATCTCTCTTTCAGGAATTTTTAAACTTGTAAAAGGCTTTCTCAGTCTTGTGTTGAATGTTGAATGTTTATTTTATTTATATGCCGCCCTTTTCCTCCGAAGGGGACTCAGGGCAGCTCACAACTCAACCAAGGGAGAGGGATACAGACAAAAATTAAAATGACGCGCAACAATACATAATTTAAAGAAGAAAAATGTATGAAATGATATGCGTATTGAAAGCAAACATACTGTAGTTTGTTAAATAAAGTATGCCTTCAATTTCTGTTACTTATTTTTTCTCATG